GTCAGGTTTTCTCAAACCTTTGTGACCCTGACGTCATGTCCCAGCACAGACCCTGAAACTCAGGCTCAGATAATAGGAATAAACGCTTTGTGAACCTGCCTATCCCTTTAGCATTGCAATGCCTCCCACGGCATCTTTCGCGTTCTGTTTTCTTTCACTGCTGCTCACAAGCCCCTCTGTTGATCCCGTCTCCCAATGGGCTTTGGCCATAAAATACAATACCTTAGACCCTTGCTACTCAAAGTGTGGTCTTACTATCTCTGGGAGCTTGTTCAAAATTCAGACTCTCAGGCCCTGCCCCAGACCTGCTGGATCAGGACCTACATTTTCTCAAGATCCCCGGGGATCCTTGCACACGGTAACAACAGACAAGTGCTGTTCCAGGTGACCTCATCCAGACACAGAGCTTTAACTATCACCTGTGACTGGTGACTCCCAACTCCTCTCTCCAGCCAGAGCTCTCCCGAGCTTCAGGCCCTGGCTGTCTGACGGGCATCTCAAACTTCACATGTCCAAACCTGGGTGCTATTCCTTTTTTTAAACATGACCGGTAAGGGGATCTTAACCCTTGACTTGGTGTTGTCAGCACCACGTTCTCCCAAGTGAGCCGATCGTCCATCCCTATATAGGATCCGAACCCGGGGCCTTGGTGTTATCAGCACCACACTCTCCCGAGTGAGCCACGGGCCGGCCCTCTGGGCGCTATTCTTTCTCTGCAATCTGCTCCTGCCTTGGTCTCTCCATCTCACACCTCGACCTCCTCTCATTGTGCAAGCCTTGGGGTCAACCTTGACTCTCTCTTACATCCCTTATCCAAGCCACAGCAAATCCCGTCAGGTCCTGCCTCAAATTAATTCAGCGAATTGCCTCAAATTCAGCATTTGCAGAATCTGGCTACTTCTCACCGCCCACAGCCACTGCCCTCTGGGAATACTGCAGTCACCCTTCCCGGTGTCCTCCTTGCTTCCACCCTCGCCCCAAGCCTTTCTCCACACCGTCAAGGCAGCCTGTGGAAGCCAAGTCAAATCCCACCCCTGCTCTGCTCGGCACCCTCCACTGGCAACCATCCCATTCAGAGTAAAAGCCAGCACCCCTCAAGCCGATGAGGCTCCCTCTGCCCCTGCTCAACCTCACCTCCTGCTCTTCAGCGCCTCGCTCACTCCCATCCAGCCACCCCAGGGCCTTTGCAGTTGCTCTTCTGCTCCCTGAAACACCCTCTCCCCAGGTAGCCACGGGGCTTGTGCCCTCATCTTTTAAGTCTCTGATCAAACGTCACGTGGTCAGTGAGGCCTTCCCTGACCATCGATCAATAGCATTTAAAACAGACCTCCCCACCCCCCCACCAGCAATTGGCCCCTGGGACACGTAGCACCATCTGACATATGCGTGTTTATTTTGTCTGTCTCTCTCTAGAACAGAAGTTCTAGGAGGGCAAAGGCTTTGCTTTATTCACTGCTGAATTCCCATCACTTGGAATAGTGCCTGATCCACGGTAGGTGTTCAATAAATGCCTGTGGAATAAATGAATGGGCCCAACCACTGGGCTACACAACTCAAAGTTTCACAGGTGATGATTCTGCGTCCCCAGGGTGTGAGTGTTGGGGGCATTCTGAGCTCAGGGACAGTGTCTCTGAAGAGAGGGAATGACTCCCCAAGGATACAGGGTAGTCCTGAGGGTCAGGGTCCCACTGGACCTGCTCTGTTCTAGAAGAGCAGAGTCTCCCAAAGTCACTCTCTCTTTCCCCTGAAGAAGGGGAGCTGGGCCCTGCTGCCTCCAAATCCTGGGTGATGTTGGTCTTCCTGATGATACCCGCTCCCAAGGTCTAGAGAACCCATGAGGACCTACTAGAAGGCAGAGGATGGCACTGAGCTGGGATTCTAGAACCGCCAAGTTGTAAGGGCTCTGGAAAGGGAAACTGAGGTCCAAGAGAGAGAGGGACTCACCCAGCACCCCATGAACCAAGGTGGGCAACACAAGTGAGACCTTGAGCCAGAACCCCAGGAAGTGGCGGAAGCAGGAGAGGCGGGCAAGGGTCTAGCCCTGCGCCCCTGATGCTGTTGACCTGTGGCAAGCCACACCACCCCTCTGGGCCCGCTTCCCCGGAGAGGGAGCCCTGTGTTCACAGGCTGCACGTGTCCAGCAGTGCTCCTGGTCCCCACCTCACCAAAGCCCCCCCACCACGGAGCCGCCAGGCCTTCCTGTTTACTCGAGGCCCCTCTCGCGGCTGGAAGGCGACAGGCTTGGCCTCCCCTGCTCCCCACTTCCTTCCTCTCCCACTTCAGTGCCTCCAGCCCAGGTCCTCAGGGCCCCCGAGGCCAAGAAATAAGGACACAGTCCAGGGGGGTATCTGAGGCCACCATCCCAGCGGGGCCCACCCAGGAGCACTCTCTCTGTGAGAACCCGGGTTATAGAGGCACTAATCTTGCTGGCTGGTTGGAATGTCCCAGCACCTTGGAACAAGCTAGTATCTGGAGTGTCCTTCAAGACAAGAAGAGAGTGACAGCATCGACCTTCTTGGACCCAGTGCCACACCCACCTTGCAGGCCACCAGGGGGAATGAGCACATACTGACCCTAGAGGGGCCCCCTCCTCTCCCCACCCTTCCCCGGGCTCCTGCCTTCATCTGGCCCCCTCCATCCTTCCTCCACAGAGCAGGGTCTCCCTGACTCACAGTGTGGCCAGCAGGACCAGCAGCCTGGGCACCACCCCCGGCCTAGAGCTGCTGCATCAGAAGACCCTAGAGATGTTCAGACACTAAAGCTGGAAGCTGCAGATGGGACCTTCTGGCTTGGCCTTACAACCCTTCAGGAGCCTCACCTGTTGGGAATTCTTGCCCCCAAAGGCTTAGCCTGAACCTGTAGAGCCTGGAAGTTCCAGTTTCCAGGAACTTCAAAGGATGGAGGAGCTAGTTAAATGATACCAGGAGGAAGCAACACATGATTCTGAAAGAAGGAATTTTCTGCAGGACAGCGGGTCTCTTCAAAGCCTAATGTCACAAAAAGAGTGGGAGAACTGTCCTTGAATAAAAGAGATTTGAACAAACATCACAACCAAATGCAATGTGTGGTCCTGGATTGCATTCTGATTTTTTTTTTTTTTAAAGATGACCGGTAAGGGGATCTTAACCCTTGACTTGGTGTTGTCAGCACCACGCGCACCCAGTGAGCGAACCGGCCATCCCTATATGGGATCCGAACCCGGGGCCTTGGTGTTATCAGCACCACACTCTCCCGAGTGAGCCACGGGCCGGCCCTGCATTCTGATTTTAACCAACCAACTGTAAGACACGTTTTGGGGACAATTGGAGAAAATTACACATGGACTGAGTATTACCTTTTTTTCTTTTTTCTTTAACCTATATAGGGACCCAAACCCATGGCCTTGGTGTTATCAGCACCGCACTCTCCCAAGTGAGCCACGGGCCGGCCCGAGTGTTACCTATTACGGTAGTAGTGTTAATTTCATGTTGTTGAAACTCTGAGTTGTGGCTATTTAGGAAAATGTCCCTATTTTTTAGAGGCATACTCTAGGGATTAACTTTTTTTTCATATCTGTAATTTATATTAAAATACTTTGGCAAAAGTAAAACCATGAAGGAAGTATGGAAAAATGTTAACAATTGCTAAATATTGGTAATGGGTATATGGGCATTCATTATATTTTTCCTCCAGTTTTTAGTTTGTATGAAATGTTTTTTTTTTTTTAAAAAAAAGATGACCGGTAAGGGGATCTTAACCCTTGACTTGGTGTTGTCATCACCACGCTCACCCAGTGAGCGAACCGGCCATCCCTATATGGGATCCGAACCCGTAGCCTTGGCGTTATCAGCGCCACACTCTCCCGAGTGAGCCACGGGCCGGCCCCATGTATGAAATGTTTTACTCAAAATAAAACGAACAAAAAACCCCCACTCTTTCTGAGCGTCCCATTGCCCTTAAGAGAAAAGCCAGATACTTGGGTCGGCATTCAAGGACCTGGGAGTCTGGTCCCTACCACCCGACAGGCTTGTCTCTTGCTACTGCACCCCGTCTAGCTACATTACAGCCCCCCCTGAGGCCTCAGCTCTCCCCACACCTAACAGGTCCTCCCCACCTCTGTGGCTCTGCAGAGCTGTTCCCTCTGCCCTCCCATGCCCTCTGTCTCTCAGTGAAATCCTAGGTATGTTCCAGGCCCTGCTCCAGAGCTCTGGCTCAAGGAAACTCCTGCTGCTAGGTCCCCTCTGACATCTCTGCACTTAGCCTCCCAGAACTGGTCTTGGTGGAGTAGGTCTGATGGAATTCTGTGGGTCTCCCTTGTGCTAGGAGCCACATTATAGTGTGCCAGGGACTTATGAGCCTCTGTCTTGCCAACACGGCAGGTGCTCTGGAAATGCTTGCTGAGCGAGCAAGTGTGCAAGAGGGAAACTCTCAAAGGAAGGTTCATGGTGGCGAGGGCGGGAAGGCATGACTGGAGCTTTTAAACTTTTTGTGCTTTCAAGTTTTCAGCAAAGAATATCTGTATCAAGACAGACAGACAGATGACAGAATATGTTTAAGTGAAAAAGTGATTCTCTGGTGAAGAGTTTGATAATTCGGGTCAGCATGGGTTTTTATAAACTGGGACTCAACTGAATTAATGAAGCTATAATAACAAATAAAGATAATGGTGATAATTTTAGCAGGTGGACTTTTCTCGCGCTTTTTCATCTTTGGCATGTTTTCCACTCATCCTCACGCTGACCCTGAGACAGAAGGGGTGTGTGAGTGTGATGAGCATGCCTGTGTGAACCCAGTGTGACAGATGCAACACCCAGAGATGGGAGGTCACAGTGACCTGTGGCTCCTGAGCTTGCTGCTTCCCTGCATGCCCCAGGCCCACTCAGGGAACAGAGGACCCGCTGTGGCGACCTCGGCCCCCAACCCCACCCACACCGCTGGCTCACCCTGCACGATACCTGCCTTCTCCTACCTCCCCAGACCACCATTTATTTATTTCATGTTCTTCTTTCAATAGACTCACCTTTTATAACTTAAATACATTTATTTTAAAAGAAACTTTGCATAACCAATGTGAATGGAAAACCAGCCCCCCTTGCCATAAAGAGAAGGGGACACACAACGAGAACATGGTCAACCCCCAACAGCAGGATTTCAATCCAGGCAGGGGTGGCCCTGCTGACAGCTCTCTTGGCTTTAAAGGGAGCCCAGCTAGCGCCAAAACAGTGTTAAGGACACGTGAGCACCAAATTGAGTCTTTCTCCGTGACAAGGTCAAAGAGTGAGAGAGAACAGAACAGGAAAGGTGGTTCTCCCCAGGGCGGTTCCGGGGCATCCCCAAGACATCTCAGGCCTGCACACACTGGCTGGGCTGCTCTGGTCTCTGACTCCCGTGGCCATGGTAACTGACAACTTGCTTGGCGTGTTCTCATCCTAGCCTTGGGGGCTGGGGCGGGGGGCACTGAGCCTATTTTAGAATTGGAAATGGCTTAGACTGGGCAGGCTGTGACCTGTCCAGGACCACATGGGGGAAGGTGCTCCAGGTCTCACCTCTTCAGGAAGGCACCCCTGACTATGCCCCCCTGTTCACTCTCAATGCCACGACCCCCCCTCCACCCATTCAATGGTGATGTCCTTTTCAGACCCTCAGAGCTTCTCGTACCAAGGAAGCCAAGTCACCTCCCACTTGGCTGGCTAGTGAGTGCTGCCCCACTGCCCTGGCAACCCCACAGGGCCCATGACCTCCCTGCCTGTGCAGCCCAGGCCCAGTGAGGGTTAGGCACAGAAAACACAGAGTGATGAGGGATCAGGGCCAAGGCCGCACAGCAAGAAGACAGAGGAGTCCAGGCGGGGGCCCTGCTCTGCCTGAGCAAGAGACCCCAAGAGCAAGGACCCTGCCTGGCTTGGGCATGCCCTGTGTGAGGAAGGACCCTGGGTGTCCCACCAGAGCTAGCAGCTAGCTGCAGTGGGCTGAGGGGCCCCAAGAGGAACAGGAGGGTGAGGGCTGGGACTCAGGCTGGGTGGGCATGATCACATGAATCAACTCCAAGGGAAGCAAAGAAAAGGAGTAAAATCAAGTGTCCTTGGAAATTCCTTTAGTGCTCGGCTGTCCATGAAAACAGGATAAAGTGGCTTCCTCTGTCTGTGCTCAGCCAGGCAGGGTGGAGGCGCTGGGCTCAGGCCAGGGCGGCCTCGAGTCAGGACAGGGGTGGGGCAGGGCTTTGAGCTGGAGAAGGGGCTCCAGCATTGCTACTTCAGGGCGTCCAGGTGGGTGCAGACCTGGGAGAAGACACTGTCCACGGAGCCTTCAGCATTGACCTGTGGGGAGATGGGCTGTGAGGGCTGAGACGTCGGGGAGGGCTGGCTGGGCCCTGCCGAGGTGGGAGACTGACCTACCCCAGAGGCCAGGCCTGCAGGAATCCCCTCATTGAACTGGCGGGGAAACCAAGGCCCAGAAGGGGTCTGGCCCGAAGTCACACAGTGAGTTGAGGTCTAGCCAGGAAAGAACTCGGGTTTCCTGGGGCTTCCCTGGGGCCCGCGGGAGGCACACCTTGCGAACAATGCCCCGTTTCTCATAGAAGGCGATGACAGGCTCTGTGGCCTTGTAGTAGGTGTCCAGCCGCTTCTTGATGGTCTCCTCATTGTCATCCACACGCCCGCTGGTCTCTCCACGCTTCAGGAGCCGCCGGGTCATGGTCTCGGGGCCTGCGTCCACATACAGCAGCAGTGTGGGCTGTCCAATCTGCGGGCGGGCACCATGTGACGGAGACCCTTATCCTGCCCCGGGGCCTTCTCCCATCTTCCTACCTCTGAGGGCCCATTTGAGACCTACTGAGACCTTTAATCCCTTCCCCAAGGTAGCCTGAGGGACCTTCCTGAAGGTCAATCTTTCCTGCCACTCTCCTGCTCAAACCTCTTCCATGGCTCCCTAGTGCCCTCAGAAGAAAGCCCAAAGTTCTTACCAGACCTAGAGGCCTGCACGGTCAGCCTCTGCCCGCCCCGCCCTTTCCTGGTCTTCTTACTTCAGCCATGCTGACTCTGTTCCAGGCTCTCACGTGCTGTTGCCTCCGCTAGGAACCCTTCCCTCAAACCTCATGCTAACCCACCCACCTCTATACCAAGCACTCTCCATCAGGTTTCAGCTAGAACCTCATGTCCTTAGGGCAGTCTTCCTGGATGCCCCCCATCCCCCGCCCCCCGTGACATGCTCTCCCAGCCCCCTTTATTTCTCCCTTGAACATGTCTCCCAAGGTTATTGATTTAATGTCCCTGTCCCCAGCCAGGCCAGGGACGCCTGCGGGCGGGGAGGCATCTGTCCCATACCTTCAGGGCTGGATAAGAACTTGACAAAGGGACAGGGGAAGGGGGAGGGCTGCTGAGTTCTGGGGAGCTCTGAGCAATGTCACTGTCATTGGAACACATGGGGGTGACTTGGAAGGGTGAGAAAAAATAAGGCCACCAGTGCCCCTCCGTGGCACCCCTGCCCAGGCTGCCCTTCACACTGAACCAGAGATGGCAGCACTTCTCCTGCCTGACCACAAGACCCAAGAACAGGGGCCCTGCCTCTCAGTCACCGCCAGGTCCCCAGGCCTGGCATAGCCCTGGGTGAGGAGGGGCTCCAGATCTCTCACCAGAGCTAGGGAAGGGGCAGCTAGTTAAGAGGAACAGAGCCACCCATGGCTGCTACAGCCTGAGGATCAGGCCAGGGCTTTCTCAGGGCCTTCGAAGCTCTGCCTCTCCCTTCCTAGCTGCCTGGGTCAGTCCTCAAGGGCCTCTGTGCAGCTGTCACCAGACCCCCATCAAGGCCCCAGAGTGCTGCCTCTAGGGAGGGGCTTGGCAAGTAGAAGCCTGACTTCTGGCGTCAGGCTGACCTGGACTCTATCTGGGCTTACTTCTGTCCCTGTTTAGCCCGAGGTCACACCACTTGTCTTCACTGAGCTTCAGTTTCCTTGGTGGCAGTACCCATCCTAACACACATCCCTACCTTCCGGATGGTTAAGGATTCAGGATGACAGCATTGGCTGCCTTCAGGGAAGGCAGCTTCTGCATCCAATGACCCCAACAATCTGCCAGGTGCTCCTATCTTACAGAGGACCATGCACGGCAATGGCTGGGCCTGGACCCAGCTCCAAGGCCACCACCTCTCCATCATCCATCAGCTGCTGAGCTCCTCCAGGGCACAGACTCAGAGTCTCTGGTTCATCTGAGTCCCCAGGGCTATGCACAGTAGGTACTTTATACATCCCAGATAGAGATGGTAAATCTGTGAAGACCAGCTAAGTCTCAGAGCTGGGAGTCTCTGGCTGAGATTCTGGTTGTTGGCCTCAGTTTCCCAGTCGGGACAATGGGCATTGAGCCTGGGGAGTTGGTGCAGAGCACTGCCTGCTGGCAGTAAAGTTCTGGTCCCTTTAGCCAGGGTGAGTCAGCCATATCTCGAAGCCCACCCTTCCTCCTTTGGTGAAGCCCTAGTGCCCCCTGGTGTCCAGAGCCAAGAAGACCAGCTGCCCAGACTCCTGGAGGCCACCACAGGGCCAGGCCCTGTGCTGGGCCTACTGCCCTCAGTAGTGCCCGCAACAGCCCCAGGAGTGATAGGGACCTTCATTAACCTCTTTTACTAGATGTGGCCCTGAGGGCTACAGGTGAGATCACACAGCTGGTATGTGTGGGCCAGGACTGGACACCTTTCTGTGCTTTCTTTTTTTTAAAAAAAAGATGACCGGTAAGGGGATTTTAACCCTTTGACTCGGTGTTGTCAGCACCACGCTCATCCAGTGAGCTAACCGGCCATCCCTATATGGGATCCAAACCCGCGGCCTTGGTGTTATCAGCACCGCACTCTCCCAAGTGAGCCACGGGCCAGCCCACCTTTCTGTGCTTTCTGGCATCTAACCACAGGGTCCAGGGCCTGGGGTCTGAAGGAAGCCAGCCAATCCCCATTTCACAGATAGATAAACTGAGGCTCAGAGTAGGGCAGACATTTCTTGAGGTCTTTCAGCTACTTAGAGATCAAGAAATACAGTCTCCTACCCTTGGATGAGGCTTGAAGCCATGAAAGCCCAAAGACGGCCCCACAGACATGGGGAGTGGGGATGGGGGTCTGGTTCCCTTCCCAGCGCACCAGGATGCCTGGTTAGCCCCACACCCACTCTTGCCAACCTCTCCCTCCTAGGCACTCGCAGCACCACCTGTTTCCCCACTATGGCCTTGTACACCACAGGTGCTGGTGTAAATGTGTGCGTGTGTGCACGTGTGTGCATCCCTGTGTATATGTGTGCTGCAGCCGTGTACATGCATGTGCATGGGTGCGCGTCATGGACATTGCCATGTGCCTGGGCATGTGTAGGCACACGTGTGTGCATGTGCAAATGCCTGTGGCCTCGTGCATGCGCACTTGTGCGCCTCGTGCACATGTATGTGTGCCTGTGTGTGCTTGTGTGGGAGAGATGTCCCTGGTGGGCACCTATTCTAGGAAGCTCAACACCATCGTCCTCAAGGCCTGCTCTTTCCAGTCAGACTCCTATGGCCCTTGGAGGGGACCGGATGCACCTTCCTGGCGTTCAAGCTTCCGGCCACGCCTGTACTTCCCTCCCCAACATCACCCCTGCTGGACCCATGCTGGCTTTACCCTTCCAGCCCTGCCAGTGCTGTTCCCTGTCCCTCTGCATGCTTATGGGGTGCCAATCCCATACTCGAAGGGCGCACCTGTCTCCCCCCATTTTGCAGATGAGGAAACAGGTTTAGAGGGGCAGAATGACTGGCTCAAGGTCTCGAGGGGCTGAGCTGGAACCTGAGCCCAGGTCTGTGAACTCCCAGCCTGGTGCTCCCCCTTCTTCTATACCTTCCCCTCCAGAAAGTCCTCCAGGTTTCCCTCCTCACCCGCCAGCCTCTCTCTCAGCTGCTCCCGAGGTGGACCCTCAGCTCCGCACTCAAACTTACCCGCCGCTCAAACTCCTCGCCCTGCTGCACCTCCCGTGGGTAGCCGTCAATCAGGAAGCCTTTGGAAGTATCTACTTTGGCCACCATGGCGTCGCGGAGCATGTCCAACACCGTCTCCTGGGGGCGCAGCAGAGGAGGAGGGGGCTGTGAGTCTCTTCCCCTTTCCTTCTCTAGGCCTCTGCTTGTGCTGGTCCCGCTGCCTGAAATGCCTTCTCCCCTTTAACACAAATGTCCCAAACAAGCTCCCTGTCTCCAGGGAGCCTTCTCTGCATTGCGAAGACCTTGACTGAACAAATGATTCATTCACATCACAATATTTCCTGAGCCCTTCCTCCCAGCCAGGTCCTATTCTGGCCCTTTTGGACCTAGCGGCAAACTAATTACACCTCCCCTGCCCTCAGGAAGCTCCCGGTCTGGTGAGGGGACAGACAATTACACACTTGATTTATCCATTTCCACGTGTGACATAGGTTGTATGGGCAAAGAACTATATACTCCTCTGCTATTGGAGTATAAAATTAGCCCGAATCTGGGAAGTCAGGGAGGTCTGAAGGCTGAGGAGGAAAGAACTTTCCAGGCAGTAAGGAGTGTGGCTAGTTTGAGAGGACAGAAAGGCCAGGGTGGCCAGAGGACAGAGAGCAGGGGGGAGGGTGGGAGGCAGGGCAGGGTCCTGCAGGATCTTGGGGCTTCTGGATGGAACTTTCTGCAAAGGCAATGTGGAGCCACAGGACAGTTCAGAGCCAGTGAGTGTCATGATCTGCCTCGCCAGGGTGCCATGGCTTTGCTGGCTGGCGTCCACCCTGGGCTACCGTGATCCCCTGCCCCCACCCCACCAGGGCCCACTCACCAGTGGCACCAGCTGCCCCTTCTCCATGATTTCCGACAGCATTTTGCCCCTGGCTGAGCCCGACCCGACCTCGGCCCGCAGGAGGTCCCCGGTGGAGAGGTGGGTGTAGCCGTACTTCTGCACAATCTTCTCACACTGGGTGCCCTTCCCCGAGCCAGGCCCACCTGCAAGTGCCCACCCATTCAGAAACACCAGGAAATGGAGCCCCAGGAGGGATGAGGGTTGCTAGGGTCCCCCAGTGAGGGAGGCACAGAGCCCAGGATGCAGCCCCCAGCCCAGGCTCCTACCAGCACCTGCAGAGACTCTCCCTGCCACCCCGCCCGCCTGCCTGTGACTCACCCACCACAAAGATGATCTTGGTTTTCTTCAGCTTCTCTGCGGGAGAGAAAAATGGGAGCAGGGCTCAGTCACTCACTCGACAAATAGCCAGAGGCACCTCTGGAGTCCCAGGCCTGTGCTGGGCCCCGGGCAAAGGAACAGACACAGCTCGCACTCCTGTCAGGGAGGCAGACAAGTCACAGCCCCTTGTGAGCCGTGATATGAGTGGCAGCTCAGAGACTGGGAGAGGTCATGGAGGGGAGGGCGTTCCAGACAGAAGGACCAGCCGAGGCAAAGGCCTGGGGGGGGTGGGGATGCCAGCCCTCATGGCGCCTCCCTGTGGGGGGCGTGACCCCAGGGGCGGTCACCTTTGGCCTTCCTTTCTTCCTCACTGCGGGGGTCACTTGAGCAGCAGCCCATGGTTCCTGCTCTTCCCGTCCCAGCCCTGGCCCTGCCCATTGCCCGCCTTCCCTGGCAGTGTTAATGTGGAGTTGGCAACCACAACACGTGTTGCCGGGAGACGGTTGCCAAGGAGGAGGGCTGCGGTGGGCACGTGGAACTCTCGCCCGGGCAGGGAGGCAAGCTCACATTCCAACCTCTGCCTCACTGGCCATCAGAACTCGGCAAGACCACAGCCCTCCTGGGCAGAGGGAACCTGTGGCTTGGGCAGGGGTGGGGATGGCGGTGGGGGAGGAACTGCTCAAGGGGTGTCACAACTGGAACAGGAGCTCAGGACTCCCTCCCTGGGCTTCCTGGGCTTCTCCTCTTCTCAGGGAAATAGAGGCCCAGGCTATCCCCCACCTTGCTGTGCGACCTGAGGAAAGAAGCGCCTGTGCCTCTCTGGTCCTCTGTTCCTGCCCCAGTGAAGAGGGGGCCTTGGTAGCTCCCAGGGGCCCTCCCAGCCATGAGGCTGGAGGAGCTGGCAAAAGAATACCTCTCCTTCGGATCCCATCCCTGGGTGAAGGTCACAAGCCTGGGGGTGGGGGAGGCCACAGCCCTGTGGCAGCTGATGCTGGGAGCTCAGGGGTGGGAGGGTGACCACTGGCATCAGGTAGCAGCAGCAGCTCCTTTAAGAGCTGCCCAGGCCAAGGCACAGCGCCAGAGACGGGACGAGAGGTGCTGCCAGTAGCCGGAGGAGGGCTGTTCTGGGCTCTCTGCCCATCCCATGTCTCCTTCTAGGTCCCAGCTCATAGGAGCTAGAAGGGCCCGAGTCCTCCTCAGGGCCCACTCCCCCGAGATATCAGGGAAACTGAGTCCCAGAGCAGGGCAAGAGCTGACCTCACACTCATTAGGCTTGGCATTTGCATACTTGGGGCCTCTCCTCCGGGTGGGCCTCCCCTCCCCAGCACCCACTCTCTACAGAGAGAGGCAAGGACTCAGCTCTATAAATACCAGCATAGGAAATTTCTGGGGCCCTCAGAAGCCTCAGGGAGGCCTCATCACTTCTAAAATTTATCTTGGATCTGACACATCCCATGAGAGGCCAGAGGAGCATGCTGGAGGCTCCCGGACAGGCCCACTCTGGCAGCCCCAGAGCCTCCTCCAACCCCTCCTGGGATGTCTCCCCCAGGGTGCACCCCCTTAACAGATGGGAACATTGAGGCCAGGCAACGAGCAAGAAAAGAGGAGCCCATACCTTCCATCCTGCTGGGGTCCCGGGAGCCGAGTCAGCACTCTGCAAGACAAGGGCACAGGTGACAGGGGTGAGGGGATCCTCCTCCCCACCCTGACTCAGCTTCCGCCAAGCAACACCCAAGGCCGCCCGGTATGTGCCAGGCCCCGACAGGCAATCGCAATCTGAGGGCAGAGGAGGCCGCGGAGGGAAGGAGGATGGGTGACCTTGGGGAAGTCACCTTTCTTCTCTGGCCTCACCTGTCACAGAAGGGTAGCCATCCCCTCCTGTCCACCTCAGGTCCCGCTGGAGGCTCAAGGAAGGCGAGAGCAGCGCTGAGGGGCCTTAAGGGCGAGGACGGGAGCTGCCGAGCTGCTCCCTCGCTAGTCCCAGAACACAGGGCGCGGGTCCAGCGTCTGCCCAGACGCCTTGACAACGCTCCCCAGGGCCGGAGGAAAAGAGGAAGCTGCCAGGAGGAGGATGGAGCTTCGGAGCTACACGTGTCTGGGACGGGTTTGGACGTGGATGCTCTAAGGGACATAGAGGCCCAGAGTGGAGGAATCTGTGGGGGCCACTCACTGGACACAGCCCTTTACAGTTTTCAAAGTGAGGGGGTCCAAGGCTCTTGCCCCTGTGCTGGCCCATCTCCCACCCCTTGCACATGGTCCCTCCCCTTCAGCCCCCGAGGACGTTGCTTCAGGACCTCAGCCCCACTCCTGCCACCCCACCCTGTGCCTCCAAGCACCCCTTCCAGCCTCCCCAACCTCCCCTCCCCACCAGTCTCTCTGTACACTTTCACTTCCCCTTCACGGCCCCCCACAGCCCTCCCCACGGCCACCAGCCACCGTCCCAACCACTCTTGCCTTGACCCTCCCTTCACGGCCCCCCACAGCCCTCCCCACGGCCACCAGCCACCGTCCACCGTCACAACCACTCTTGCCTTGACCCTCCACCCTCAGCCAGCACCCCCTCACCTCTCCCTGGGACCCCTACTCTGCCCCTCAACCTTGGCTTCAGGCTCCCCAGCCCTGTGTGGCCAGCCCAGGCATCTCTCCCCAGCCTCAGATATCCACATCCCCCCGACAGGCCGGAGGCTCCACAGACCCCCCCAAACTCCAAATAGCCCTTCCTGCATCCCCAGCTCCGTGCCCAGCCAGAGGCCCGAGTCAACATGAACGCTCTTCTCCCACCCCCACCTCTGGCCCGAAAGCCCACCTCCCAGCCCTGCTGCAACTGAACCTCTCACCCATCTATCTCCTCACCACCACTGCCTAGTTCCAAGCAGGGGGCCCGGGCCACTGCCCGTGCCACCACATGGACCACCTGCCTCCATACCCTACCAGGCAATCTGCAGGATTTTCTCTGACATCAGGCTATGTCACTTACCTGCTTACAACCTTCCATGAGTGGTCCCCTCGGCTCCCACCCACAGACCCCCCAAACTCCAAATAGCCCTTCCTGCATCCCCAGCTCCGTGCCCAGCCAGAGGCCCAAGTCAACATGAACGCTCTTCTCCCACCCCCACCTCTGGCCCGAAAGCCCACCTCCCAGCCCTGCTGCAACTGAACCTCTCACCCATCTATCTCCTCACCACCACTGCCTAGTTCCAAGCAGGGGGCCCGGGCCACTGCCCGTGCCACCACATGGACCACCTGCCTCCATACCCTACCAGGCAATCTGCAGGATTTTCTCTGACATCAGGCTATGTCACTTACCTGCTTACAACCTTCCATGAGTGGTCCCCTCGGCTCCCAAGACAAAGCCTGAGCCCCTTAATACAGCTGGCAGGTCCTGGACATCTGGCCCTAGCCACCCTCTGAAGCCTTATCAGCTGCCACTGGAACTGCCTGGAGCTCCCTCACCCACCTTGAGATGTCCCCCCTCCAGGCCTTGGGGAATGTTGTACCTAGTGCCCGAATGCCTTTCCCAACGTGCTATTGTTTGGGCCTCAGCTCAATGTCACCTCCTCCAGGAAGCCTTCCGGGACTCTGCCCTCCACTCCCACACCAGCAGGTGCCTTCTCTGAATCTTCCCCAGCATCACACACCCACACTGTATTGGGTCTCTCTGCTACACCACAGGCCTGTGCTCCCACCCAACCAGCCCTGGCACAACCTGAGCACAGAGCTGGGGAGCCTCATTCCATCCTCACTGCCATCTGGAGAAGGACCTGATGCTTGGAGAGAGGGATAACTTAGCTAAAGGGCCTGGCTGGGGTCAAACTTGGGTCTACATTTTTGGCAGCTCTGTGCCTGGCATCTAGTAGGACCTTAAGCAGCTTTGCTGACGGTCCCTGATGCTTGTGAGACATGAGTTATACCCTCTTTTTCTGCTGAGTGTGCTAAAGGAGGGGTAGGAGCTGCCCAGGGGTGGAGGAGCACCCCCGGGCCAGGGACAGCCATAGCAAAGCCATGAGAGTGGCCTCAGCCCTCCCCCCTCCTGGTAACCTAAGCCCCTCCATCCTGCTGGCACCTGCCACTTCCTTGGTCCAAAATAACTTGGGTTGTGAGGAGGCTTCACAGGGGTCCAAGACGGAGTTGGGTTACCGGCTCAGCACCAGGCCTTATAAGGCCTCTGGTTCAGGGCCCCAGACACTCCTAATATGACTGGGTGGTCTGCTAAGAGGCCTGGGGAGCTTAGGCCCAGAGGGACAGTGACAACCCCAATCACAAGGCAAGACCAGGGGAGGGCCCAGATCTCCCAGCTCCCGACCCAAAAGCAGCCTTCCCAGTTTTTGGCAACTGACTAGGGTTCAAACCCCAATTCCATCACTCAGCTGTGTGACCTTGGGCAGCCAGTGTCCCTCCCTGGGCCTGTCCCACTGCTGCTGAAGAGTACTGGGTGGGTAGCTGAGAAGTGCTACAAAAGGCCCCAGGTGCCAGCCCCAAGACTCTCACAGAGCCCCAGCCCCAGCCCAGGCAGGAGACTGGGACAGGGACGGAGCATCCAGAAGGCTTCCGGTCCCCCTAATACTCGACTTGACATGACAGGGAGCCCCTCCATGCACACAGGCTGCTCCTGTCCAAGTCCTCTGGGGCAGGGAGCCAGGCAACAGTCCCCCCTCCCTGGGCCCCAGCGGGGACGTGCCAAGGGCAGGGACCTGGAGCCCCAGGAGTGTCGGCGGGAAAAAGGGAGAGTGACCAGGAGGCTGGGAGGGGCTGCACCACACACACACACACACACACACACACACACACGCACACGCAGAGGGATCCACAAAGGCAGACGCAGTGTGCACAAATACCCAGAGCCTGGGGAACACAGACACACAAATACACACAGATAACCACAGGTACAAACACACAAAACCCAAGGAGAGCCTGACACAAACACGCCCGGCCGGGCCTCCCAGGGGACGCTTCCCACTTCCCCACTCCCTGCAGAGACCCTCACAGACACACTTGGACACACACTGACCTGGGGGAGGATGTGGGTGGGCGCCGGGGCCAGTGCGTGCCCTGCCGGTCCTCGCCACCGGCCGCCCCACAAAAGCGACTATTTATAAGGCTGTCAGCGCACAGCATGCCGGGAGCCAGTGCTGGGAGACGGCAGGGGAGGAGGGAGGGAGCGCGGACCAGGAAAGGAGGAGGGACTGGACTGAGCAGAGCCCTGATGGGAAGCCGGCGCAAGACTGGCACCCCCACTGTGCACCCCCAGGTTTGCCAGTGGTTTTCCTTTCCTCTGTTACCTCCACTCTGCCCACATCACCCTAGGAGGATAAGGCCAAGCTTCCCATATGACGGCTGGGGAAACTGAGGCCCAGAGGGGAGAGATTCTTTGCACAAGATCCTACAGTACATTGTGGCAGAGAGTGGCCAGACCAGGGAGGGATGGGGTCCAAGGCATGGACTCTGGGGCTTTGCTGGCCACAGTCCCCCGGCCCTTCCTCAGACCCTACCCAGAGGCCCTGGCCCAGGATCTACCTGGGACAGCTCCTACCCTGTTGGGAGGGACCCTGCATGCTCCTCTGCTACTGAAACTCCCCAGGACCCCAAAGACCACCCAAGTACCCAACTCCAGGCTGGTGGTTGAGTAGAAGATTATAAATACCAGCCCTGCCGCCATGGAGCTGCCAGGCAGCTCCCAATGAGTGCACGCTAGGGTGTGGGACGTTCCTAACACTCTGAGTACCCAGATGGGGGCCTGACAATCCTACAAAAAGAATAGCTTATGCCCATTAATGAGTACTCACTGTGTGCCAGGCACTAGGCGGAGCAGCGGATTCCAACCGTGTCTGTGAATCCTTAAACACAGAGGAGGAATGTGAGGCTGGCGCATAAAATAGCTTGCCTGAGGTTCCTTGGAAGAAAGCGATGTGTTTATCCAGCAGTTTGCAGGGAGGCTGACACATTGTATTAGGTGCTCAATAATGTAGCAGGGTGAGGACAGGAGTCCAGGACCATCCAGCTTCAGAACTCATGCACTTGACCAACAGACCACATCACAACCCTGAAGTCACAAGCCCCAGACAGTTGGGTGGATTGAATTTGGAATTTGTCTTGTAGGCACTAGGGAACCATGGAAGGTGAGCAAGAGAGTGAGATTACCAGGAGAGTGAGACCGCCTCAGGTGGTAGTAGTGCCTTAGCAACACCAGCAGCCAGGATGCCAGGAGGCCTGGGTCTGGTCCCAGCTTGCCACCTGTGAGGTCAGACAAATCCTTCCTTCTTGGGACCCTAGTTCCCCCATCTGTAGGAGGGGAGGGACGGTAGGTCAGAGGTTCAGCATTAGAAGCTGTTTGAAAGGCCCTCTCAAAAATATCATGGGTGTGCACCCTTCTACTTTTAGAAATCCATTTCAAGGAAACACATGTGGGCACAAAATTCTTACAGGAAGATTTTCTAGTGCCAGCAGGGGCCAACTTGGATGGTGGTACAAGCACGATGGATAGGAAACTGGTGACTCTGCTGCTGGGTCTGTGTGAGATAAAAAAAAAAAAAAAAAGTTCTTTGTGGCTGGTGGAGCAAGAGGTCCCAGACACGCATAGCATTGGGGAGAAATAAGCAAAAAGCCCAATTGCACCGGTCTGATCCCACTTGCATAAAAACACCTCTAAACATGCAGGTGCAGGTGTGTGCATGTGCGTGCATGCGTGTGAAATCTATTCCTTTTTTTTCTTTTTGCATTTTAGCTCTGCAAAGTTAAAGTAATGTCTTACAATCAAGTTGATAACATCTTAGAGCTGATGAAGGAGGAACCAGGAGGGCAGGCCCCCTGGCTGGGAGTGAGACGTCACTCCTTACTTGAAGCCTTCCCCAAGCTTTTCTGCTTTTACATAAGACATGCATCCACTACTCCATGTATAAAACAATTTTGACATGGATAAGACTTGAGGACATTATGGTAAATGAAATAAGTCAGTTACAGAAACACAAATACTGTATGATTCCATGTATGAGGTACCTAAAGTCTGCAAACTCATGGAAACAGAAAGCAGAACGGTGGCTGCCAGGGACTGGGGGGAGGAGGAAAAAGGGAGTTGCCTATTGGGTAGAGGGTTTCAGACCTGCAAGACGAAAACTTTCTGGAGATCTGTTGCACAACAGTGTGAAAATGGTTAAGATGATAAATTTGATGTTTGTGGGGTTTTTTAACCACATTTCTAAAATAAAATAAATAATTTTTTTTAATAAAAAAATTTTAAGTACCCGTTTTAATTATTTTATTTGCACGTGACCTATGTATTTTCTACCAATGCTGGGATGTTAAAATTTCAGGATTTTATTTTCCAGCAGTAACCTAAAGAAAGAAAAAAAAGGGAGAGAGGGAGGGAGGGTTGGAGGGAGGAAGGGAAGGAAGGACAAAGGATGGAGGGAAGGAAGAAAAGAGGGAAGGAGGAAGGGAGGGAGGGAGGGAAAGGAAAAATTGCATGGAGGAAAAATCGGGAAGGTTATACTCTAGACTGTGTTAACAAGGAGTAGGACCGAGTGACGCCCTCGCTTTCTACCCTATATCATTTGTATGATTTAAGTTATAACAAAAAATACCGAAAAACATAAACATATAAAAATGAAACCAATTTTTAAAAAAACTTAAGAAACAATATTTTGGCTAAATTATAAGACTTGAAAATGAGCCAGCATGGGAGGGTAATTCTGGGGCTGCCTCACTCAGAGGTTTGCAGCTGGATCCACGGGTCAGCATGCAGGGAGGTCAGGGCTGGGAGCTCCGGGCTGCCCCAAGTGGGCCTGCTGGTGAGGCTGGTGGAGCTGCTGAGCATCCGAAGGAAACAGCTGGATGACAGGAAACAGCTGCCACTCCTTGGGTTTGCAGCTGGTGGGAGGCTCAGTGGGAGATCCCCCACCCCCAGGAGGTAGGCAGTGCCCTCCCCAGAGAGATGAGGAAGTCCTGAGGTATCACTGGGGAACTGGGAGAGGGGTACAGAGGCACGCGTAGGTGCAGGAGGGCCTTGAATGCCGACTGAGGAGGTGTTTCCAGAGCAAAGAGGCCCAGGAAGAGGTGGGGAGCAGACCAGTCTCTGTTGGGTCCCACCTGAGGGAGTTTGAGGGGTTGGGGACTAGGCCCCGTGCTCCTGCCCTCAGCATCAGCCACCAGAGTCCCACTTCCTGATGTTAAACTGAACTTCCCCATGGTCTCCCCCCAGCAACCTGCCCCCTCTGGATGCCCTCCTACCTGCCTCCCCTTCATGCCCACCAGCAGGCAGGCAGAAGAGCCACGCCATTCTGGGATAAAGTCTACCTGGGCCCACATTCCCAGAAGCCTTTGCACAGGGTGGGAAATGTGCCCTATCCTCATATCCCCCTTCCCAGGCAGGGCTTTAGGCTCCCCTTGTGATGACTCTGCCAGGAGGCCCTTCCCCTCCAGAACACCTCCCACCCGCCATTGCTGCATCTGGCTGGCCCCGCAGCCTCCTGCCCATCCTGCAGCTGTCCCGCTTGACTTCTCTGAGCAAGAAAGATCAAGGCTTTCCCACCCTCTGGCTACATGCATGGCCTTTTGCCCTCTGGCCTCAATGTTCCCTCCAGCTGTGGCCTCAGAGCTGTGTTGCAGCCTCCTGCCCATCCTGCAGCTGTCCCGCTTGACTTCTCTGAGCAAGAAAGATCAAGGCTTTCCCACCCTCTGGCTGCATGCATGGCCTTTTGCCCTCTGGCCTCAATGTTCCCTCCAGCTGTGGCCTCAGAGCTGTGTCCCCCCACCCCACCCCAGCAGGCTGTGGGTGTCAACACCAGGCTTTCATTCAGGTCCCCCTGCCCTATTAGTTGTACCTAACGCAGTGCATGGAACGCGGCTGCTGACTGATGGCATGAATTAAGAGACAAGTGCAAGGTGCCATCCTTGCCTCCCAGCCCCACTGGCCACTATCCCACTGGCCCAGTGCCCAGGGAACACTTGCTTTCCCATCCCCGTCTCCCCTGGGAGACCCTGGCAGGCCGCTTGCCCTTGTCTCACACAGTCACCCTTTGTTAGGCCTTGCTCCCAAGGGCACCTTATCTGCCCAAACAGGTTGTAATCTCCGAGTCACAGACCCCTGCTTCCTGCCAACCTGGAATAAACAGCCCTCATACTGAGAGGCTAGCAGCAAAGGCAGTGCACCTCTCCCCACAGCCTGCTGGGGCTGTAGCCCCCCAGACCCTCCTGCTGGGCCAGGCAGGGAATTTGGGTTCCCTGCCCTTCAGGGCCCCAAGCCCTAGAGCCGACCCCTCCCCCAGGCCTGCCACCCTACCCCTGGCTCCTGCTCATCCTCTCTGGCCTTCTCCCACCAGCTTCTCTGCAGGTGCTTTCTGTGATGGGATGTCTTTCCCCTGCACCCCCACACCCCTCCTGTTCTCCCTGCCAGGAACTCCCCCAACTTCTGCAGGAATCCTTCCCAGAGTTCGTCATGGGGCCCCTCTCCTCCCTAGAACCTGGGCTCTTTGGGGGAGTTCCCTTGAGGGAACTGGAGCTCTCAGAGGTGAAGTGACTTGTCCAAGGTCACACAGGTGGGGCGAGGTAGGGGCAGGAAGAGCCAGGGGGGCTTGACTGTGCAACCCCCAACCCCAGAACTGGCAGGTCTCGGCCCAAGCTGCAAAATGCATGACTCACTGGCCAGCTGCAAAAGCCCAGTGCTGCCGGCTTCTGTGAGCCCAGAGGGCGCGGGCTCGGACCTGAGGACGCCCGCAGTGCGCAGCCACAGAGGGCCGAGCTCCAACCAGGAAACACAGGACATGAGGCCAGAGCTTAGGTGTGTTTATTCCTGTACAAATCATTACAAAACCAAGTCTGGAGCGTCACCGCCCCACCCCCCATCAACCCAATGTGCAATGGCTCGCTGCTGGCCTCCTCCACCCGACCCCTCCCCCTCCACAGCCTCCTCCGGAAGCCCTTCCCTCCAGGCTCCCAACACACCCCACTGAGGCCCGGCTTTAATAAAGTGCCTGATGTAGAGTGAAGGGACAGAACCCAGGCCACACGGCTCCGGGAGCGCCCCAGAAGCCCCCAGCGGCTCCAGACAAAATGACTGCATAAAACCCCAGTGTGGCAGGGGCACCCCCCTTCCTTGGCCTTGAAGTCCCCTCTAACAGGTGGAAAACCTCACTGCTGGGTAGTAGAAAAAGAAGCCTGGCCCTTTAAGAGCCAAGCTAATGGCAGCTAGGATGAGGGGCTGAGAAAATAGCTGTCTGTCCCACTCCTGTCAGAGTCCCCCAACTCTGGGGGCATTCACACAGAAATACCCTAGTTTTCCAGAAAGAGGTGGGGGAGGGCACCCCAGACCCCCGAGGGAGCTGAGCCTCCCAGCACAGAATAGTGGCTGGGGGGATCCAGTCTTAGGGAGAACAGAGCCAAGGGTGGTCAGTGGGGGAGGTGGGAAAAGATCGAAGACACCACATTAAAACCTGACCTGGGCAGAAGAGTGCCCAGAGAGGGGGAGGGGTTTGTTCAAAGTCACTCAAGGCAGGGGCCAAGACCTGGATGCCAGCCTCCCACCTCTGGGACACCCCCACAACCCCCACAACTTCCACAACCCCACACATTCTCCTGCTGCCCTCTGCACAGCTCCTATCGATACAATCTCGCTTTCTGATGCTGGGAATTGAGGGAGCTACACAGAGTTCCCACCTTCCTGGGACAGGACCCCACTGTCCCAGCCAAGTAGGGAATAATTTGGGGTCCATTCCTGGGGTTCTGAACCAAGGCCTCATGGGAAAGGACATGTCCTTAGCCTCAGATTGACTCAGAAATACCCCTATACCCTGATTGACTATGCTCAGACCCTGACACTGCTGATTAACCACATAGAATCCCAAATCCCTGATTGGCTGACAGATGCCCCCAGGCCCTGATGGGCTGGAGAATACACCCTCATCAAGGCCCTGATTGGCTGGGAGACATGCCAGCCAGCCTTGACTGGCCAGAAGATGGCCCATGGTCGAGTGGCTGGGCAGAGAGCCACTTCTGCGTCCCTCCTGAGGTCCCACAGGCAGGATGGCCTAGGTCCAAGAGGGGTGGGAGAAGGTGATGCCATACAGCTGGGCCCAGGACGAGAAGACCCTCTTCTCAGTGATGAAGCGGTGGTGGTTGCCCTTGTGGCTGTGCTCGTTCTGGATGTAGGTGGCACACTCATCTGGCCCCTTCGGCTCATAGTAGTGGTAGGGCATGCGCTGCAGGTGGGGCCGCTGACTGGGTCAGAGCAGATGGGGTCGTCAGGGCAGGTGGGCACTGGCAGGGTCCTTGCTCCTTCAGCCCCTCACCTGCTATAGGATCTCAATGGGGGGAATCCCTTCCCATCCCTGGGCCTCAGTTTCCCCATATGTAAATTGGGCGTAGAGTGAACTAGATTTGTAACCTTGACTTTTTTTGTTAATGTAGTGGAACCTTTTCTTTTCTCCAATAGGGAAGCAGTGAAGGGTAGTGGTAAGGGCTGTGGGCTCTGGAGCCTGACCCCACCTCCTACTGTTTATGGGACCTTAGGCCACTCACAAAACATCCTGCTCAGTTTTTCTCATTTATGAAATGGGGAGAATGACAGTACCTATCCCTCAGGGTCACTGTGAGGAGTAATGAGACAGTAAATGTAGCCATGCTTGGTCCAAGGTCACCACTCAGTAAAGTATAGCTGTCACCTGAGGGCTTTTCATATAATTATAACAATTGTTAATGAACAAACTCTGGCTGAGGTTGGGGTGGAGGCCCCTGCAGTAGCTCCAAGGAGCCTAGATCTCTGCTGAGCAGTTTGAATCCCACAATAAAGGCCCTGGAAATTACCCCAGCTAAGGTTTCCAGGCCCCCCAGCTCCATCCCATGGCCAGTGGCTGGACATTGTCCAGGGAGGGCACTGGCTAGGAGTGCTCACCTGCAGTGGCCGGGGGGGACCATGCCATAGACGTGCACGTGGTCACACAACTCCACCGCAGTCACCATGGTAAACCAGCCTGTGCTCAGCCACGAATGGGACTTTTCCCTGGAGGCAGAGAGCAGTCATGGTGAAGGGGCATGCAGACAGGGGTGGGAGCAGGCAGGGAGGAATGGTCACCCCACAGGAGTTTCCAGGAACTCCTCACACCCACCCACTGGGGCCCCACCCCCACTTCAGTTACCCCCTAGTCCAGCCCCACTGTGAGAGCATGGCATGCTCATAGAAGGTTTGTCCTAGCAGAGATGAGGGGTGTGCAGTGAGCTCCCTTGAGGGAAAGAGTGGGAACAGGGCATGCTGAGAATAAACTCCTGGGGAGACTGGCCACAGCTGGGCAAATCGGGAGTGACCATGACCACAGAGCATGCTAAAAGCAGCTGTGCCCACAGTAGGAACAAACTCCTACAGAAAGACTAATCAGAGAAGGTCATGCTGGAGTGACTGCAGTTCACAGCAAGGCATGGAAGAGTAGCCAAGACCCTAGAGCTGTGCTTCCACTGCGTCGGCCACTAGCCACGTGTGGTTACTGAGCCCTCGACATGTGGTTGACATGTGCTGTAAGTGCAAATACACACTAGATTTCTTAGATGATATGAAAAATGTAGAATATGCCACTGATAATTTTTCGATATTGATTACATGTTGAACTGAAAATGTTTTGCATATACTTGGTGGACGGTGATTCTTTGAAAAGATTAAAAAACATATATATACCCCTAGCAAGACTGACAAAGAAAAAAAGAGAGAATACACAAATTACCAAGATCAGGAATAAAAGAGGGGAAATCACCATAGGCCCTGCAGACATTAAAAGAATAATAAGAAGGTTCCACAAACAACTATATACATAAATTTGACAACTTAGATGAAATGGACCAATTTCTTAAAACCCACAAACTACCAAAATTCATCCAAGATGAAACAGATAACCTGAACATCCTGTTAAATCACCATAGGCCCTGCAGACATTAAAAGAATAATAAGAAGGTTCCACAAACAACTACATACATAAATTTGACAACTTAGATGAAATGGACCAATCTCTTAAAACCCACAAACTACCAAAATTCATCCAAGATGAAACAGATAACCTGAACATCCTGTAACTATTAAAGAAATTGAATTCATAGTTAAAAATCTTCTGAAAAAGAACTCTTCATGTCCAGATAGTTTCACTGGCAAATTCCACCAAACATTTAAAGAGAAATAACACCAATTCTACACAATCTCTTCAAGGAAATACAATAGGGAACATTTCTCAATTCACTTTCTGAGGCCAGCATGACCCTGATACCAAAACCAGGCAAAGGGGCCGGCCCGTGGCTCACTCGGGAGAGTGCGGTGCTGATAACACCAAGGCCACGGGTTCGGATCCCATATAGGGATGGCCGGTTGGCTCACTGGCTGGGCGTGGTGCTGACAACACCAAGCCAAGGGTTAAGATCCCCTTACCGGTCATCTTTAAAAAAAAAACCAGGCAAAGACAGTACAACCAAAACTACAGACCAATATCTCTCATGAACAGAGACACATAAAAATCTTAACAAAATATCAGCAAATCATATCCAGCAATATATAAACATACACCCAAACCAAGTGGGGTTTATTCCAGAAATGCAAGGCTGAATCAATATTCAAAAATCAGTCAATATAACCCACCATATTAATAGTCTTAAGAAAAACCACATGATTATATCAATTGCTGCAGAAAAACATTTGATATAATTCAACATCTGTTTGGATCCCCATACTGACCAGCCACAGGAAAAAAAAAAAAAAGAAAATCAATACCTGGTAATAAAAATTCTCAGCAAACTACTAAGAGAAGGGAACTTTCTCACCCTGATAAGAGGAAGCTACAAAAAAATCAACAGAGTGCATCATATTCAATGACAAAAGACAAAGACCAAGAAAGTCTTAGTTTTCTCACCTAAGACTAGGATTAAGGCAAGGAAGCCCATTCTCACCACTTCCAACATTGTACTGAAAATTGTCACCAGTGCAATAAGGCAAGAAAAAGAATTAAGACACATACAGATTGGAAAGAAGAAAGAAAATTGTCCTTATCTGCATACAACATGATTACCTGCATAGGAAGTCCCTAAGAATCTACAAAAATCTTCTAGAACCAATAAGTGACTTTAGCAGGGTTATAGAATACAAGGTCAATGCACAAAGATCAATCATATTTCTACATACTAGCAATGAACGACTGGGAAACAAAAAAATTTTGTTAATACTATTTGTAAGAGCTCCAAAAATTTTTAAATATTTAGGTATAAATCTAACAAAATATGTACAGGAGCTATATGTTGAACATATTGGTTAAATAAAATATATTAAAGTTAACTGCATCTGTTTCTTTTTATACTTTTTAGTGTGGCTACTATAAACATTTTAATTACATACGTGGCTCGCATTATATTTATATTGAACAATACTAGCCTAGCTTTTCTAGGCAAATTAGTCAGAGCAGGGCATGCTGGGAATGATGTAGCCTTAGAATAGAGTATGCTGGGAGCAACTGTGTGCTTAAAGCAAGGCATGCTGGGAATAGTCGAGACTTCACATTAGCTCTGCTATGGGGAGCTCTCCTAGAAAAATGCTAACGACAGTGTGACCTTAGAGCAGAGCATGCTGGGAGCCCTTGTTCCCTCAAAGCACAATGCATACCAGGAAGAAGCCCTCCTGGGGAGATGAGGCCATGCAGAGCAAGTTGGAATGACCCCTGTTAACAGCTGGACATGATGAGAACCTTCCTAGGAAACCTGACCAGAGGGCAGCAAGCAGCTACCACACCCTCAGAGCAGTGCATGCTGGGAGCAACAGGCCCTCTGGGCGGAGCATGTTGAGGGAGAGCACGGGACTGGCCAGAGGGGGCAGGTGGGTAGCTGGTACCTGTCCTTGCCCGTCTCACCCCGGAAGAGGTCGTCAAATTGGCGCATGCGGGTGGGAGAGAGGGCATAGGCCTCCATGTTGGGGAACACCAGGCCTGCCCGTTGGATGACACGCACAAGGCTGCCCTGGGGCTTTTGCATCTTGCTTGGGGGGCCCCAAAAGATGAACACAGTTTCGGGGGTTCGGTTGACAAACTCCTGGGGCCTCCGCAGCACACGGAATACACTGGAATGGGCCACCACACGGAAGGTGGTCTTGTTGCCCACATCTGCTGAGTAGCCCGTGGTGGGCGCATCGTTCATGCGGATCGTGCACTCGGCCCGCTCGATCTCAGGGCCCAGCTTGGTGCCCAGCAGGTGGCTGGAGCTGGTGACAATCACACACTGGTGGCACCGGGAGGGCAGCGTCTGGAGGGCAAGGAAAGTCAACACTATCATGGCCACTCTGTGCCAGGCCCTGTGCTCCATACATCCAGGCTTCCAGGAGCGAGGAATTATTATGTCCATTTTAAAGACAGGGAAACTGAAGCCCATTCATTCAACATGCACCAAATATTTATAGCAAGCTGGCTGATGGCCAAGTACTGGGGACAGAGCAATGAGCAAAAGAGACCCAGCTCCCACCCTCAAAAAGCTTACAGATGGGGAGACAGAGAATGACCATAAGTAATACATGCTAGGAAAAAAATAAAACAGGGACAGGTGATTAAGAGTGATGGGAGCAAAGGCTCTTTAGAAAGGTCATCCGGGGAAGCCTCTCTGAGTTGAGACCTGAAGGATGAGAAGGAGCCACCAAGGGAAAAGCATTCAAGGCAGGAGGAACAGCAAGCACAGAGACTCTGCGGTGGGAATCAAGGTGGAGTGTTGAGGACCAGGAGAAGGCCACTCAGTTGGGGCACAGTTAACAAGCAGGAGAACAGTGGGCCACACAGCAGAAAAGTGCAGGGCCAGGATCTGAATCCAGGTCTATGTGACCACAGATCCCCAGCCTCGGCCTCAGCTCCCCAAAGAGGACATCTCCCTGAACGCACCCATGACATTTCCACACCACCCACAAACAAGATACCTCCTTGTTATTAAGGAAGGGTGTGAAAGCCACTCTGGGCATCTGTGTCCCGCTGGGTGAAATGAACAGGCTGGAATCACATGTTCTTTGGAGTCTATTTTCTGCTGATGGAATTTCTATTAGTTCTTCAAGGCTAAGCTCAAATGTCACCTCCCCCAGGCAGCCTTCCCTGAGCCCTTACCCTAAGATCCAGCAACATGTCCCATGTACCTCAGCTAAGGGTTTTCCCAACTTCCCTGAGCTCTAATTTTCTGGCTTCCTTTATTAGGCTGGAAGCAGCTACAAGCCAGGCTCTGCCTCCTTCCCCTCCACATCATCCATACTCAAACTGCCCCACTTGTTCCCTGGTCTACCGTTTTATTCCTTTTTCAAGGGTTCTTAGGGTAGAGAAAGACTCAGGTCCTTCTGTCTCTAAACACCTGCTGATGGGCCCTTTCCCAGTGAGGGTGTGTACTGAGCCCAGGGCTTTACACTGTGTATGCAAAGGCACTAAAGAAAATTTAGGGGGCCAGCCCATGGCTCACTTGGGAGAGTGTGGTGCTGATAACACCAAGGCCACGGGTTCGGGTCCCTATATAGGGATGGCCGGTTTGCTCACTGGGTGAGCATGGTGCTGACAACACCAAGTCAAGGGTTAAGATCCCCTTACTGGTCATCTTTAAAAAAAAAAAAAAAGAGTCAGTGACGGAGGAGAGAGAGGTACTATGGTGAACCTCAGAAATACAACATGAGGGCCGAGCCCATGGCGCACTCCGGAGAGTGCAGCGCTGGGAGTGCAGCAGCGCTCCCGCCACGGGTTCGGATCCTATATAGGGATGACCGGTGTCCTATATAGGGATGACTGGTGCGCTCACAGCGTTCACTGGCTGAGCGCGGTGCGGCCGGTCTCAAAAAGGACAAAAAAAAAAAAAAGAAAAGAAATACAACATGAATTTCATGGCTACCCAAGGCAAATAGAAGTCACCAGAAATAACTTTTGGCTTCTCTATGCAGCTGCAACTCAGCGTGGGTTGGGAAAGTATCCTGTCCCCTCCACCTGCTGTGTGGCCTTGAATTAGTGACTTCACTTCTCTGAGCCCTGGCTACCCCATCTCCTCAAGGGAAATAATAATGCTGACCTCACACACAGATCTGTCTGAGGCCTACTGAGGGTCCCAGTGGCTGGCCACAGCAGGCACTTGACAAAGGGCAGCCGTTATTATTCCTGCTTTTGTGTTGTCACGTACCCCAGTGTCCTGCTCCCTATCCCCAGCGGAGACAGAGATCAGTGAAAACCAGAGACATGTTTCCAAAGGAATTCTGACTCAGAAGACAATAGGATATTAGCACTGAGGGTGGGACCTTGGAGAGGAGAGAGGCAGGGCACTTATCTAAGGTCACACAGCAAACAAGGGGCTGAAGTCACTGGAGGTCAGGGCCTTGACTTTTGGGGTCCACCCTTTCCTCTAGGATGGATGGGGGTGGTGGAGAGGAGAGGTGGAGGAAGAGAGAGCAGTGATGGTGGGCAGTGGAGAGGATCAGCTACCAGGCAGCTCCCAAGGAGCTCCCCAAAGTGGTCGCTCTACCTTGTTGCCGAGAATGGGGATGTAGCCATCAGTGATGCCCCACTTCTTGAGGTTGACGGGCCGGTGGATGTGCCCCCGCAGGGAGCCGTAGTGGAAGACTTCATTGGCACTGTTGGAGCTGTAGAGGATGAGGATGGTGATGAGGGCAAAGAGGATCACGAACACTGCTGACCGCTGCTCCTGGAGAGAGGAGAGGCCAGTGAGGGCCAGCCACCCTGCAGGCTCGGTGCCCACCTCCTTGCCACCCACCATGCCTAGCCACTCTTGCTCTTCATTTCAGACATGTTCAGACACTACCTCCTCCAGGAAGGCCTCCTCCAAGCCTCTGGACTCTCCTTATCACAGCACTAATCACATTGCATTCAAATTGCCATCCCCCACAATTAGACCATGATCTCTGAGGGCTGGGACTGGGTTGGCCTCGCACCCACTGTATTCTAAATCCCAGAGCAGGCCCTGGAACACAGAAGGTTCTCAGGGAGGATTTGCTGGACTAAATTGGATGTGAGCGTCAGTATTCCCTCCAGCTGCAGCTAAGAGGATGCCTGGAGATAGGTGAGACATCTGAGTGACAGAGTCCAGGTCTTTCCCAAACAGTAACTCTCTGTAAGTTATCAATAACTTGGAGCCTCTCAGCTCCAAGTTCATCCTTGTTGCTTGCTCTGTGAAAATGGATCTGGGCCCTTTAAATATTTTTCCTTGCCAGCTGGCTGCATATTAAGCTTAGAAAGTAGAGGGAGCTGGAGGGACTTTGCAGGAGGAGAGGCATTTGCTTCTTGGCTCTGGTGGGTTTGCTAGGGAGGCTCTTGCAGTGCACATGGCTTCTCCAGCACAGGAATCTTCTCCAGTGCCCAGAGACCAGCAGCACTCGGCAGCTTCCTCAAGCACCTGCCTTCAGGCTCACTGTGATCCCAGCTTCTCCAAAGTCCAGCTTCTGCAGTGCACTCAACTGCTTGCTGCACCCAGAAGCCAGCAGCTTCCTCTGCCTGGAGCAGTTTTTGTATTGAAGCCATCCAGTGGGTCACCATACCCTCTCCAAGCAAGGCCTGGTTCTCAACCCTTGGTGGGGGACTGGGGTGCCCCTTACATCTGCTATTCTTATATTCCTTTGAGTTCCAATCCCTCATTACTCTAATGCCCGATTATAGTTGATAATTCTTTGCATTAAACTTTCCCTATTCAAACTACTCTGTGGTTCCTCTCTCCCCAATAGACCTTAACTAACATCACCCTACCCCATCCCCAAACTTCGGGCTCGGGGTGCCCCTTACATCTGCTATTCTTATATTCCTTTGAGTTCCAATCCCTCATTACTCTAATGCTCGATTATAGTTGATAATTCTTTGCATTAAACTTTCCCTATTCAAACTACTCTGTGCTTCCTCTCTCCCCAATAGACCTTAACTAACATCACCCTACCCCATCCCCAAACTTCGGGCTCTGCCAAGGCTGCAGTGACTCCTAGAGCCAGGCACATAGTAGATGCTCAGGAAAGCAGGAATGAATGAATGCATCGATATGGGGAATCCTGCCATGCCCAGGGTGATGCTCTGACCAGTGTCCCCTCCCCCAGCCTCTGGGCCACCTCCACCTTCCCACCCCCATCTCCTGCACAGCACACCACAGTCACCTTCTCAGCTAGTCCTTTACCACAGATAGGGCAGTCAAAACTAAGAAGACAGAGATGACCCTGGGCCCAGAGAGAGGCAGGAGCTTGCACAAGGCCACTCAGCACATCAGTGGCTGAAGCAGGGCTCAAACCCGGGCCTCCCAGGCATCAGCGACTCCTTGGTGGGGAAGAGAGACTCATGGTGGACTGGGTCTGTGGCAGGTCCAAAGGAGCCCATGTCACAGAGGGAAGGAAGAGGCTCCAATGAGGATGAGAAATGAAGAGGGACTTACTTTGTTGCTACTCATCTCTCTCCGGTGTCTGCTGAGGGGTAGGAGCCGGCGTCCTACAGGCGGCCTGGGGGGTGGGGATATGGGGTCACACCTGCAAGCCACCAGAAAGGGTTATAGCCTGGGACCCCTCCCCTGGGTCCAGCTGGTCAAAGGCTGTACCCTCTCTACCCCCTGCCACCTCTCCTATGCACCCAGACCTTTAAGGCCATATCTGTTTTACAGATGGAGACCTTGAGGCCCAGAAAGGGCAGGAAACAGTCTGGTAGAGGCAGAACCCTGCCTCTCTCCCTGCCCACCCTCCTCCCTGAGCAGGGGCCTTCCCACACCCAGGAAGCTGGCAGGCCTAAAGCTGGCCCCCCTGCTGGGGGACCTGCCCCCTCCCAGCAAGAGCCCTACTCACACCCTGCTCTAAACCTGCCTGGAGTCCCGGTGGCCTCAGAGCAACACTTCGTGTAGGTCCCCAAAGCCTCTGCTCTAGCTGCCTTGGAGGTCATGCCCCTCTGCTTGGAACACCCTCCCTCCTGCATCCTCCTGACTCCCACTCATCCTGCAAGGCTGGGGTGGACCAGGAACTTCCCTGGTTCCTCACCTTCCTCCAGGCCAAGAACTCCCTGGGGACCCAGCCCACACTGTGCCTCCACAGACACAGAGGTGGCAGGTGCAGGAGTATTGCTGAGTGAATTAATTGATTAACAAGTAAGATTTGGGGGGTTAAGGGGCATAGACTCAATTTTGAGAGGCCCTGTTCTAGTTCTCGCTCTGCAGTTCCAGCCAAGGCTCAGACTCCTCATCTGTCAAACAGCTGTGATCACAGCCCCACTCCCAGAAGGTGGGTGGCGGGCCGCTGGGAGACAATGCAGCCTTGGGCAGCCTTCCTTCCTGCCCCAGCCCCAGAGGCCTCGGCCGGGCCGGCCGTGAGGGGACCAGCCTGGCTCTGCGCCTCACTCCCCAACTGCTCCCCATCCCACCTCCCCAGGACCCAGCTCCTCTCCAGACTTCAATTTCTCCATCTGTAAAGAGAATGAGCACTTGTGTGCAGCCTACTTTCAGCTTAGTGGGCTGGTCAGTTCCGTCCCCTCCTCCAGGGGCCTCTCAGCTCCTGCCACTATATCCGCCCCCTGACCTAGCAGCTGTTTACTCCTGCACCGCCACCAGGAAAAGCCAGAGAACCTCGGGCCAAACGCTGTCCACACAACACCGCTCCCGATTGGTTGGCTCCTGGCTCCGCCCACTACCCAACCCCGCCCCCTGCCCGCAGGAGCCCCCTCTTCCCACGCCGGGTTTCGGGTTTCTGCAGGGCCCGTCCCTCACCGCCAGCCACCGGGGCCCCGGACTCTCATCGGGCCCAGTCGCTGCGGTACAGATCAGGAAACTGAGGCTCATCATAAGGGAGGAGCGGCTTGTCCTTGGACTCGCAGGTCGTGAGGGTAAAAGACAGGAGTCCCGAACCCCAGCGTCGCCTCATCAGCCCTGACACCTTGGGCATCAAGGCGCTCACGGCTCCAGCCGCCTCCGTCTTACGCCCCTTCCTGCGGATGCCCATGCTCCACACACTTGAGCACTCCAGTTCCCAAGCCCACCCTCAACTTTCCCACCTTTGCCTGAGCAGTTCCCTCAGCCAGGACCACCGTCCCCATGGTCAGCCCCGTCACAATCCTGCTCTGAGAAGGCCATGGTCAGTACAGCATGTCAGGTGCCAGTGCGAATCCCGGTTCCACCACTTACTGGCTGGGGGGCCTCGAGCAAGCCATGTGACCTCTCTGAGCCTCAGTTTCCTCATCTGTGGAATGGGAATAATAAGAGGAGGTAACTCACAGGGTTGTTGGAAGGATTCAAGCAGATGTGGCAAGGGGCGCACAGGCCTTGAAAGTGCTCGGTCAGTGCCAGCAGCTGTGAGTCTAGTGGCTACTCATTGTTCAAGGCCCGCCTCTCCGCGAGTTTGCCCGTGAATCGCATCTCCTCCCCTGCCCCCAACCCAGCCGCTTTCCCTAATATCAAGGAACGTGTGCGGGAGCCGTGCTAAGCATCGCCCACTCACTGAATCCTCCTGGCAACGCTGCATGGTAGGAGCTCTTATTCCCCATTTCACAGATGAGGAGACTGAGGTTCAGGGAGGCAAAGCGCCTTGCAGAACCGCCCAGAGCCGGTTTGGGGAGCCTTGTTTACAGGAAGCAGCCCAGGGCTGAGCCTGACAGGGACTTCCAGGGGGATCCCCTTCCGCTGGACCGGGGCTGAGGCCACCGGGTGTGTGCGCCCAGCAGCTGGCCCGTTACCGGGGAGCAGGCCTGTTAGGGAGCGTCTCGCTCAGGCCAGGGTGGGGGCAGCCCAGAGCGCTGGCCCAGGAGCGTGGACTCAGTCCCAAGGCTGGACGTGCAAGAGGGCCGAACCGTGAGCCGAGTGTGTGTGGGGGGCACACCCTGCCTTCTGTTTCGGGGCTTTGCTTCTCCCAGTCTGGGGAACCCTCCCGCAGGGTCGGGACGCCCCCACGAGCCGCGTGGGAGGAGGGCTCCAGGGAGAAGGGGGAGGGGGTCCTAATCCCGAGATGATGAGGGGCGCGAGCCCGTGGGTCCACCTGGAGGGACTCACCTCTGCGCCCCCCTCCCGCCGACCCCCTCCCCAACTCCGCACTCCGGGCGTAGGGAGCCCCGACCCCAGCTGGGAGGAGGAGAGAGGCAGGACCGCGGCGGGGTCCCCGAGCTCTGACGGGGTAGTCAGCGGCAGGAGGCCCAGCGAACCCCACGACAGTCTTTGGGCACGAGGATTGGGATCTCGGGGCACGGTTACCAAGAGGGAGTGGGTCTAGGGGAGCCCCGGGGACCCCCGCATCGATGCCCATCCTCAGCGGTTG